TGTCAAGGTAGACGAACTGACGGAAAATTTGAACACGGGTATCGAAGGGGATGACAAAAGGCATGTGACGCAAGATTTCCAGCTTTGGTCCAATGACTGCTAGGAGGCGATCTCTTTGCGCCCTTCGCTGCTGAGATCGTAGCTTTTCGATCTGAGCATGACGCGAAACGCGCTGACCGGCTACGGTATGTATGAAGCTGCCCCCTATGTTGGCGTCTTCGTCAATCTCTCCATCTTCGTCGTCGCTAGAGTCAGACATTTCGTTCTGGCGTTCCTGTTCGGCGACCACGGCGCTAACAAAGCCCTCCATGTCAAATTTCGATGTCATCAGCCAATGATTCGGTGGTAAGAACGGCCGCCTCGAGTCTCGCTCGTATAAAAGTCGCAACGCTGAAGTGACAATACTGCGGAGGCTGCCCAGATCAAGCCTTGTATCTGACGAAGTGGGTTTCGCGTTCTGTGCTTTGGCATCCTTCAATGTTTTTGAGGCACTGTTTCCAAAATAGGACTCAAGTTGGCTCATGGAAACCGGCTCTGAGTTTTGGATGCCCTGCTGAATATCTTGTGCGTTGTAGTGGAGGGCAAAGGCGAGGTGCTTCAGAACGATGCTGAGGTCTTCCACTTCTTGCCGTGAGAGGCCGCATGATCGCAGACGAGAGGGCTGCTTGCTACCCTGGAGTAATGATGGGGAAATGCTGCTGAAGAAGTCTTCATCGTCACTCAGACGAAGAATGAAAGTGTAAAGTTCGAGAAACAGGAGCATCAGCCGCCATTCCTGCTCGCGTGATACGTCGGCAGACTTGGATTTTGAGAGGTAGTTTCGTACCAAGCCGACTACAGACGTTGAGTCCCGCAGGACCTGTCTGTAAATGCTGGTCTGGCTCATAGCTTGCCAGAGAAATTTGATGGTCGGCAAGGTGCCCACGTTTGAAGGAATGTCACCCAAGAACAGTCGCATGCGAATCTCATCGCCATTCTCGGGAAAGCATCGGAGAAGTGTGAGAATGTAGCCGGATAGTAGGCTTGCGCTCTCGAATTCCTGGGACGTGGATCTAGATCCAAAGTTGCTGCAGTGTATTAGCAGTGTTTGAGAAGACGGGTAAGGATTAACTGACTTGGTGAGTTCAGCCAGAAGAATTGATATGCCGTTCCTGTCCACCAATGACGTGAGTCTTTGAGTAACGTATAAGGGTAGGGGCAGGATGAGTTGGTCATCAGCGCTGTTTGAATCAATGGTTGACGAGTTGGGTTCAGCGGGCTTCACAGATAGTCTAAGGCTGATATCTGCAGACAGACTTGAGAGTTGCAGATGCAGTGCATTCAAATGCTGCAGTCCTTGCGACTTGGCACCACTCCCTTGGTGAAGCCCAATAAAATGTGCAAGGAGCCACAATTGCTGGTCACGGCTAACACCATTAATGCGTCCGTCTAAGTATACCGCGGTGATAGCTGTCGCGAGGCGGTCAAGGTCAATATTGCGAGAGAATACCTCCGCATGCTGCTCGACAAGTCGCAAGTCATGCCGTGCGAGGAAAGACAGCGACAAAGCTTCGTAGGTGGCCGAGGAATTGATGTCTGCCGGACTGTCAGCAAGCTGGCACATGTCAGAGGCCGGCTGGACTACCGTACCGTTCCCGGGATTAGCTCCCAGTGGCATTAATACAGCCCGAGAGATCACCTCCAAACCAGACTCATCAAGGTCTGATGCGCTACTTATGTCTGCAAGAACCGTATAGTATTGCCGAAGAGATTTAGAGATCGATTCGGGAGTAGCACCGACGATTTGCGTCAGGAGGTTTAAGAGCAGTTGGGCGTCGTCGTGTTGGTTACTCCTGAAATTGTCAGTCAAGCCTTGGAAAGGACAGGACATAAGCTGCCGAGGTCACTTACTCATTCTTTGTCTGGCCTTCCAAAGCCTCTACCAGTATGCGGACGTATCGTGCCAATCTTGAGGGAGGTAGTCGGTCGGATGCGAGGCATTCGAGGTTGGTCGAACTCAGTTCTCGTGAGAATCGAAAGAGACGCTGCAAATCGTCGGCTCGGGTAGGCTGGAAGGTTGTCAACAGCAGTGGCAAAGCCATCGAAAGTCTCTGCTGTGTACCCAAGTCTGAAGTTGTCGAATAGAGAGTGTCAAATGATTCCCTTCTGGAGTCTCGAAGCCGCCTCCTGGCCCTGTGGCCCCTCCATGTCTTTTGTATCTTTCCTGCTGCCTTGAGCTTGTCACGATCCTGTTGTCTTTGTGCTCTTTCGGCCTGGGCATTAGAGACCGTTTTCGAAGCTCCTGACCCTGCGGATGGCGTCCATGATGTGGCAGCGAAGGGGTTGAGGTTCTGCCCGCTGAGGTTCACGTTCCGAGGACGCCTGGAGTTTCCTGTGAAGGTGGGGAACATGTTGCCTCGTGGAACGAGCGTCGTTCGAATAATATGGTGGTGGTTAGTATTATTTCATGTCGCAGCAAAGATGAGCGAGGGAGCGTTGGGGGGAAGCAAGCTGAGGGCAATGTCGAGGGATGTCGCGGACGCAGTTGCCTTCCAGAAGCTTCAGGTTCGGATGGGTGTATGTAATCGATGTCGACCTTGACAATCGGCGATAACGCGGGACCTGAACGGGCAGTGACGGCGCTGGAGGGGAAATGCCGTAATTCGCAGGCTTCAGACTAAGCCCCGGTACCTAAGGTAGGTACCTAGCCCGGCACCGTACCTAACCTAGGTACCTAAGGAACCTCAGAGGGCTAGTGGGGTCTGAGGTAAGCTGGACTGTGACTTTGGACGCTGGAGCTGGTCCGGGCTTGTGGAAGGTTCCGGCGCACGGGACAGGTGCTACGTTGGCCCCATTGCTGTACCGGGGAAGGCACCACCGGTATCGATAAGAAAACGGGAGGCTCCGATAAGACACCTGGGGAAAGGGCAGTAAACACGATGGGGAGACACACAAGCAAGATAGCGACTGATTGACTTCAGGCGGAGGAAAATGAAATGATATCGCCAGAATTGAGAGAGAATGTTGAATCCCAGAAGCTTGGTCAGGGCGTTGCATGCTAGCTGACCGTTGCTCTTGACCAGCCCAAACGAAACAAAACTCAACCTTTGCCAACGGCGTTTCGCCGTCAAGGCTTGGCTGACTCGATATTGCAGCTCTGCACTGCGCCTTTACTCGTGTAAGTGTCGGTGTAGAAACACAGCGAACCATGAGGCCGGTCAAGGAAGGTGAGGGGAGGGTCAAATGCTTTGCAGATGCTCGCGACAAATCAGACTTCAGGCACCAGGACTGGTTCATGCTCAATGCTTGCTTTTGAACAAGTTCGTCGCGGCTTGTTGTTTGGCGCTGAGCCGTCCATATTCCAGCAAGGGACCAAGCATCGTTCGGCTAAGCGGACAGGCCGGTCGTTGGCGGACAGCATGGCACATCGAACGGATCAGAAGACGCACATGGGTTCATCCCCAAGAATGTTACTCGTGCCTGGAGTAACCTAACCGTCTCGCATGTCTTGCAGGTCCACGTCCTACCGTCCTACCGAGCCCTCAGACTTGAACGTCTGAGTCTAAGGCGGCAGCTAACGAAGTGATGGAAATGTAAATGCCGGATCTGCACCTTGGGCGGTTCGGCACAGACAGGCGCCCATTTGTTTGGTATCGAAATTGCAACAACACAGCTGCGCAGATTTGGAAATGAGCAATGCCCCCTGACGTTGTTGTGTAGGCTGAGCCAGTCGTGCCTGCGTCAGTACCTGAAGACTTCAAGCGAGGCAGGCTGTATGGAAACATCGCCATGGCAGACAAAACCACCATCTACTCGTCCCCTTCCTCCTCCTCCTCTACCTTACCCAGAGGCCTTACTCTGTGGAACGGCCCATCGCCTGTCTGCTCTTGCTTCCTCTCTTCATAGGCAGGTCCACCAGCCGTTTGGACCAGTCCACAAGGGTCGAAACCCACCGCATAAAATTTTCATAAAATGATGGGAACCCCACATGGGATAGGCCGGTACCTGAGGGCTCTCAACCGTTTGTACCACGGCCACGGGGACGCCTGTGCCCGCTAATCCTTATCGAAAGGCGGCCGTGTGACGCTGCAGATAAAGATAGTGCTCGCTGAATTACTTGCGCCTGGCGCGTGACAGTGACTTTCTGCGCGCCGTGGCCAAGTACCCACGTCACTAGCACATGCCCTGGTCGCCCCTCCACACCCCTCTGCAGAGAAAAACTGGAAGGCACACTCGGTTTTGCACTTTCCTGTCACTGGTGGGCAAAGGTGGGAGAGAGCAGGAAGGCACCACCCACGGCTCTCACCCTCCAGCCAGGCCGGAGATCCAGTAAAAAAAAAAAAAAATCCATCTCCAAAAGCCACACCATAGAAATTTATTTCTCTCCGCTCCTCCTCTTCTTCTCTCTTCCAACAACTACACAAAACCCTATCAACAACCCCCTTCACATCCAAAGAGGGTCTGACAAGGAGTACGTCTTTCGTACTTGTTCTCTGTCTCGCTCACTTTCTTCATCAAGAAAAAAAACTTCAAAAAAAACTTGAAAAACCCCCCTCAAAATTTCCCACCTCCATCTACGGATATCTCCTCCCCCTCCATTCGCAAGAAAATCCCAAGAGGCCCTTCTCCGCCCTTCGTCCTTTTCTTGCCTCACCACCGCCCTTCGCGCACCTGCCTGTCAATCTTGCACCAAGTGCGTCTCTTGTGTGTCGGTCAAACGTCACGCATCCGAATAACCTCATTCGACAAGAAAGGCTTTTCGCTGCCTCTTCGACTACCCTTATCCGCACCGTCCAGGTCCCGTCACACGACCCATCGTCAGATTCTTGACTTGGTAGGTGCTTTTTTTTCTTCATCCTTTCCCCTCATCATATCCACATTCACATATTTGGAGGGGTTGCGCCTTGGCCCTCTTCCTCTTTTTCATTGCGATTTTCATCCATTTCAACGTCAAGATCGTCGCCTAACCCGGCCTTGCTGTCGCAGTATCTTTCCCCCGTGTCAATCTCAACACCGATACAATGGCTACTGCTACGAACAACGGCGCTGTCGACCAGCTCGCCAACGACTTGAGCAACGCCTCGCTCAACGGCGCTGACAAGAACGCCCCCGCCATCAACACCAACGTTGAGGCTCAGGGCGACAATGCCGACGCCGCTGGCCCTACCCCCACCACTGCCCCTCACCCTCAGGCCTCCGCCTCCCTCTACGTTGGCGAGCTCGACCCCTCCGTCACCGAGGCCATGCTCTTCGAGCTCTTCTCCCAGATCGGCTCCGTCGCTTCCATTCGTGTCTGCCGTGATGCGGTTACCCGCCGTTCTCTTGGCTACGCCTATGTGAACTACAACACCACCATTGACGGTGAGAAGGCTCTCGAGGAGCTCAACTACACCCTCATCAAGGGCCGTCCCTGCCGCATCATGTGGTCTCAGCGCGATCCCGCCCTTCGCAAGACTGGCCAGGGCAACGTCTTCATCAAGAATCTCGACGTCGCCATCGACAACAAGGCTCTTCACGACACCTTTGCTGCCTTCGGCAACATTTTGAGCTGCAAGGTTGCCCAGGACGAGAACGGCAACTCCAAGGGTTACGGATTCGTTCACTACGAGACCGACGAGGCTGCTGCTCAGGCCATCAAGCACGTTAACGGCATGCTCCTCAACGAGAAGAAGGTCTACGTCGGCCACCACATTCCCAAGAAGGACCGTCAGAGCAAGTTCGAGGAGATGAAGGCTAACTTCACCAACGTCTACGTCAAGAACATTGCCAACGAGGTCACTGACGACGAGTTCCGCGATCTCTTTGCTGCGTTCGGTGACGTCACCTCTTCCTCTTTGGCCCGCGACCAGGAGGGCAAGAGCCGTGGTTTCGGTTTCGTCAACTTCACCACTCACGAGGCCGCCGCCAAGGCTGTTGAGGACCTTAACAACAAGGACTTCCGCGGACAGGACCTGTACGTTGGCCGAGCTCAGAAGAAGCACGAGCGCGAGGAGGAATTGCGCAAGTCTTACGAAGCTGCTCGCCTGGAGAAGGCCAACAAGTACCAGGGTGTCAACCTGTACATCAAGAACCTTGACGACGAGGTCGATGATGAGAAGCTCCGCACTCTCTTCGCTGACTTCGGTCCCATCACCTCTGCCAAGGTCATGCGCGACACTCCTACCGACTCCAAGGAGGATGAGGAGGGTTCTTCTGAGGAGAAGGAGAAGGAGAACAAGCCTGAGGCCGAGGAGAAGACCGAAGAGAAGGAGGGCTCTGAGAAGAAGGAGAAGAAGTCGGACAAGAAGCTCCATGGTAAGAGCAAGGGCTTCGGTTTCGTCTGCTTCAGCAACCCCGACGATGCCACCAAGGCTGTCGCCGAGATGAACCAGCGCATGGTCCACGGCAAGCCCCTCTACGTCGCTCTCGCCCAGCGCAAGGATGTTCGCAAGAGCCAGCTTGAGGCTAGTATCCAGGCTCGCAACCAGCTCCGCATGCAGCAGGCTGCCGCCGCCGCTGGCCTTCCCCAGCAGTACATGCAGCCTCCTGTGTTCTACGCCGGTGGCCAGCAGCCCGTCTTCCCCCAGGGCGGCCGTGGCATGCCTTTCCCCCAGCCCGGCATGCCCATGCCCGCTGTTCAGGGTGGCCGTCCTGGCCAGTTCCCCGGTGGCTACCCTCAGCAGGGCGGACGCGGCGTTCCCCAACAGATGCCCCCCGTCTACGGCATGCCTGGCCAGTTCCCTCCTGGCGCTCCTTACCCCAACTCCGGCAACCCTCAGTTCCTTGCTGCCATCCAGCAGGTTCAGCAGGCTACCATGAACGCCGGCGGTCGCGGAGGTCCTCAGGGCGGCCGTGGCCCCGCCCCCATGGCTGGCATGCCCGGCCCCGGCATGCCCGGCTTCCCCCCCAACGCCCGCCAGGGTGGCAACCAGCCCGGCGCCGGCCGCGGTGCTAACCCCAACGGTCCCCGCAACAACGCTCCCTTTCCCCAGGGTGGCCGCGGTGCCGCTCCTGCCCAGGACCTCAACAGCTCCAGCCTCATCCAGCAGCAGCTGTCGTCCGCTGCTGGCAACCCTGGCCAGCAGAAGCAGATCCTTGGTGAGGTTATCTTCCCCAAGATCCAGGCCATGCAGCCTGAGCTTGCCGGAAAGATCACCGGTATGCTCCTCGAGATGGAGAACGCCGAGCTTGTCAACCTGTGAGTACCACTTCAGCCCCACGCAATGATTTACCACTGACATGATCCAGCATCGAGGACGAGTCTGCCCTCAAGGCCAAGGTCGACGAGGCTCTCGGTGTCTACGAGGAGTACATCAAGAACCAGGGCGGTGAGGAAGGCGAGAAGAAGGCTGAGGAGACCAAGGCTTAAATTTGGTCCTTCGGATATCACGCAACGTCATGAGCATGATTTTTTATGTCAACATACCCTTGTTACCCGGCATCCTTTCTACCTCGACTACTGAGCAATCAACGACGCTCAGGAAGTCACTGCTCAACACGGATTGGGAAAAGTTATTTGGAATGAGGCGGCATTATCGACTGCATTTTTAACGGCAAAGGGATTTCGACGACAGCTAGTCACCTCGGCAGATGGTTGCTGAATTTGTGGGTTGGCATCGTCCCCTACGGCCGGCATGTATGCTTAGGCTTTGGTGGGCAGGAAGACTGGCGGTAACCCAGATGGGTGTCCGGCTCTCTTATCCCCAGGAAGGTCTCGTTGGGATGCGTCGTTTGCTACCCCGCACTATGGTTCCAGGAAGGCGTTTTACGGTTTATGTTTAGTTGCCTGGCTTCGCTCGCTGGCGATAGCACCAATACCCCCCACAGAACGGTACTCGTTTCTTCAGGCAATCAGGCAGACACGGAGGTTATGAGGAGAAGTGAGTAGGAAGGGATCTCCTTGATAGAAAGTTCACAAACACTTGAGGTGTCCTTGCTGTGATGTCCACGCGGTGTGATGTGCAGCTCCTTTCTGGTGGGAACCTTGGCTATGGTATCCCTTTCAAGGGTGGAAGATGACTGCTGTTTCTTATCACATACTGACAAAGGTTGTCCATTATGTTCATATCCTTTGGCGGATATTCTCTTGCTCAAGCAGGCAGACCAAAAGGGCAGGCTTCTTATCGTGCCTGGCACAAGAGGGCGATCATTTGACCATCATGGCTATTCCTACACCAGCGGTTGCATTAGATCTGGGGAACATTCAGCTCTGTAAGTGATCACTTTCATGGTTCCTCTGTCCAATGGTTGGACTTGATAGGAATCCAAATGCTCCCAGAGAACTTCCAATACAGTACATCCCAATGCACCGTCTATTTCTTGTTGGAGCAGTTGAGGTGGCCCATACAATGGTGTTGATGGGTAAATTGCAATCAGGGCAGCTCCACTGGTTTGATACGTTTCTCCCACTAATCGTCAAGAAGCCTGGCAGCTTCTCGGCGCCTCATTTTGGATTATCCGTTTATGAAAAGGAGATGATCACTTGATGGTCATTTACCAGGCTATGTTAGTATGGCGTACCTTGAAAACTGGCATCCATATCGTCCATGTCGTGCATGTGAGCCAATACCGCCCGTTTCAATATTTGCGGCTTTGCCAAGGGAGGACCAGTAAACATTGTTACCTTGAGTCGATGTTCCTTTCGTCAGCAGAACCGCAAGGTCAAGAATGTGCTGTAGAGGTCTTTCTGAAGTCCAGGAAGACGAGTTCTTCCGACACCTTGCGGGTCGAAGAAGAGTCAGAGACGCTCTTATAGAATCTCTCATCTTGGAGGGGCATTAAGTCTACACACGCTGTCTTACGTTGTCCCAATCAACTAGCCCAGAAGTTATAAGGACCTAGTGCTACGCAATACTTCACTTTACGCTGAGAAGTTTGCCACGGCTTTTCACGTGATCCTTGAGTCCACGCCCAGAGGTTGTAGTCATAGTAGAACTGTACATTACACCTGGCCAGACCAGTACAATAACATGGTTCTTATTACCAGTGAGAGGGTTGTTATAAATTATCCACACAGTTCGAGGAGGAGACGAAGCAGACCGAGTCTCTTGATTTGTTATGACAGCTGTCCTTCGCATGACAGTGATGACCAGAATCTGAGGCTGCCCGCTTGAGATGCCAATATCTATCCCCTTGACTCTCTCCTTCTGCCACATACGACCATACCCATTGGAAAACTCGGGATCCCGTCCGCTCTCCCATAGATAAGCCAATGAGGGCTGGAGTAGTAGTCGGGTCGGTGACGACCGGCGAATGCCCGGTGTTGTATGTTTTTTTGGTGTTTTGTTTGAGCATTGAACCTCTGGTTTACTGAAGATGATCTGTGACTGTTTTGAGCAAGAAGCTTCGTGTGCCTAGATTCCTGTCTTTTTCTTCGAGAGAACAGGTAGAATATGAGATATATCAGTCATAAATACTTGATCACTAACATGTCTTGAGGTGGAAACGCTTCTGGCTTCGGTTGAGCTAGCATCGTGAGGTGGACCGATGTTGTGGGTTTGTGGACGCCACATGTGTACAGTGCGAAAGGGATGGCTTGGTTCCTAGCTCACTGTACAAGCCACAACCGCTGCCAAGGCACCTTTCTGCACCAGGCGCATCACTTACAGCGTTACAGCTCTCCAACTGCAAATCATTTCACCATTGTCGATCGCGATCGCGCATTCTGTCTCCCACAGCGTTTCTCCCGACTATGCGACGCGACTTCCAACGGTCGCTTCGGTAGATATGTCTTCGGCAAAGAACCTGGTCGAGTTTCCAGACGTGGAGGCGAAGCTCCAGAAGGCACCTAAGCAATCCGCGTTCGAGAAACAACGAGCCGAAGCCGAAGCAAAGAAGGCCCGCGAGGCCGCCGAAACGGCCGCAGTATATCAAGACTTCGTCAAGAGCTTCGACCACGATGACGACGACGACACAGGAAGCAGCCGCTTTGGCTCTTTCCCTCCACAACGGCCACCGAAGGGCCCTGGTTTCGGCGGCGCGCCGCTGGGAGGAGTCGCTGCATCGAAACGACATTTTGGCGCATCTGCACTTAAGAGCGGCCCAGGCAGCTTGGGTCCTGTTTCTAACATGAAGAGTGGCCCAGGAAGCTTGGGTCCTCCCGCAGGATCATTCGGGAGAAAGAGAGGTTTCGACGCATACAGGCAAGAGAGGGATAGTGGCAGGCTGGGCTTTGACGATCGCGAAGAGCCAATGTCAGTCTCCAAAGTATTCCACAACAGCGATGATGAGGAGGAAGGCAAGTCGGACTCAAGAGAGGAGATGGCCGTGGCCAGGCCAACGTTGCGCCTGTCCCAGCTGCCTCCAGGCACGTCTATGGCATTCATCAAGTCACTGATACCGTCCAACCTGACCGTCGAGAACGTCAAGATTCTTCCACCCGGGGGTCCGTCTGGTACAGAGAGGAAGTGCGCGGTAGCCATTGTCACCTTGTCACAAGAAACACCCGCAACAGACATGGACGCCGCAGTGAGCTCATTGCAGAATCGCTACCTTGGATATGGATTCAATCTGTCGCTGCACCGACATCTCTCCTCAGCCGTTGCGATTTCCACAGCATCAACACTCAGCAGCACAACTGCTGGATCGCAGCCTTTCGGGGCCAAGCCCGTGGCACAACAGACTGCACCAGGCAACGCCGCAACGCAGCAGTCTTTCCATCGGGGCTTCGCGCCGCCCACCTCTTATGGGCCGAACGCCGCAGGCTCAGTCAATAGGAGCAGTCTGCTTCATGTTCCCGTCAAGCCACCAAACGACATCAAGATGCTCCAGCTCATCAACAAGACGATCGAGTCGGTTCTAGAGCATGGCGTAGAGTTTGAGGCTCTTCTCATGACCCGTCCCGAGGTCCAGAGGGAGGAGAAGTGGGCGTGGATCTGGGATGCTCGGAGCGAAGGAGGCATATGGTATCGTTGGCGGCTTTGGGAGATTATCACTGGCTCGGAATCACGCCGGAACAAAGGGAGGTATTTGCCGCTCTTCGATGGGAGCCACGCCTGGAAAGCACCAGAAAAGAACCCACCGTACGAGTTTGTCACTGCGATTGATGAATTCGTGTCCGATTCCGAGTACAACTCGTCAGATGACGAAGACTTTGACGGAGAAAACCGCGAAGGCCAAGGGGCCGAGGCCGAGGTCACCTTCCTAAACCCGCTCGACAAAGCCAAGCTCACCCATCTACTGTCTCGCCTGCCAACGACATTATCAAAGATACGAAAGGGAGACGTTGCGCGAGTCACGACTTTTGCCCTCACGCACGCAAGCAGAGGTGCCGAAGAGGTTGTCGACATGATCGTCTCGAATATCGAAAAGCCTTTCGCTCGAACGGGGGCGAACCGGGAGTTTCAGTCGAACAGCAAGGAGAGAGGCAGACAAAGGGACGACTCCGAGCAGTCTGATCCCGAGCCGGAAGAGAAGGCGGACAAGGAGGGTCCCGATACCAGCGCCGCAAGCCTCGTTGGGCTGTATGTGGTTAGCGATATCCTATCCGCCTCCTCAAACAGCGGCATCCAGCGAGCCTGGCGATATCGACAACTATTCGAAGCAGCACTCAAAGAGCGCAAGATTTTCGAGGGTCTCGGTCTGATGGCTGAGAAGCTAAAATGGGGCCGGTTGCGGGCTGAGAAGTGGAAGCGCAGCGTCGGACTGGTACTTGGCCTCTGGGAAGGCTGGTGCGTCTTTCCAGCGGAGAGCCAGGAGATGTTTGCGAGCAGCTTTGACAACCCACCATCTCTCAAGGTCCAGGAACAAACAGAAGACGACGAGGCCGCTAACAAGCGCAAATGGAAGCTGGTGGAGGCTTCGAACGCTGATGTCGACACCGCCGCTGCGGCCCCTAGGCTCAGGATATCGGAGAAGATCACACCCGAGAGGGAGGACGACGTCGAAGGAGAGCCTATGGACGAGGAGGATGTTGCTGGTGAGCCGATGGAGGACGATGTCATGGGCGAGCCAATGAGCGAGGAGGACGTGGAGGGTGAGCCAATGGCAGAAGATGACGTCGAGGGAGAGCCGATGGAGGAAGATGATGGGGGCGAACAAGCGGAGGATCAGCCAGCACCGGTCGAACCTAGCAAGGTAGAGGAGGCAGCAGTGAGCGCAGATGTCAACAACGGCACACCACAGACGGTCGGACGGTTGCAGTTGTCGTCCAAGCCGGCGGGGCCTAGGAAACGAATGAGGGCGGTGGATATGTTTGCCGACTCCGGGGACTCGGATGAGGGAAACTAAGGGTTGCGCGTGTTGCGGAAGCAGGGCGTGTCTCCGAAGGTAGGCCCCAGGGGGCAAAGGCCAGGGGCGGCGTTGGCGGCTTCACAATCTTGCTCACCTAATGAAGAACCCAAGAGTATTGAAAGAGTAGCCCGGTGTCTA